TCTGTCTCGGGCGCTGCTCGCGCTGTTGCTTTGATATTTTTGTCAATGTAATCGTGGCTAAGCTAAATTACAGGTAGTCAATATAAATGCCCATAATTGATTGCGGCATAGTTATGAAGTATTGTTCCATTTCTTTATTAGCCATTTTCAGCGACTGCTGTTCGGTCGGGCGGCTTGACTGTGGCTTAACATTTCTTCTTTTTCGTTCGGCTTGTAATATGCGGTTTCACTTTGATCTCTACGAGTTCCGAACTGTTATTGGTCACCCCGCTATTGTTTTGTAGTTGTGGTTATGAATGGCATATTTTGCCTCCAACTATTTAAAAATTTACTAAGGAATGACTTTGTTTGGCCCATAACAATGAAATCATTTATTTGTTGCGTCTGGCCTTTTTTGCTGCCTACGAAAAGATACTCCACCGGATTAGGGTTTGATGTAAGATTTAGTGAATACTATCGGTATTTTTATATGTGTTTACATATAAAGATATTATTAGGAGGGTGTTTGGATAAAAAGTTGAACTAATTACATATTACTTTATAACAATAACTGCTTCAAAACGATTTGAAGTAGTGCAGAAGTCATTCGAATTCTGCTGTCGATGGTTTCGAATCAAGTCGGTCTAGTCTGACGTTTTCACGAGTGATTGTGAAAGAAAATGTGAGATATCCAGACGGTAACAAGGACTACATAAGCATATCAGTTGTGCCGATAAACGATCGGCTCTTCTATATAAGAGAGTGGTAGTCTCTCGGCTGAGGGAGGAGTGGAGGGAAGCCAGATTGGAGGCTGTCGACAAAGCGAGCCCTGGGGCTCGCGTCTGGCTGCCAGCTGAATAGGTATATTGAGGAAATAATCAAATGCTGACCCCAGAACCGTTCGCTATCCACGCATAATTAGATGGTAATAAGGTTGGAGAGAACCGTTGAACCATATCGACAAGCGCTGATTCTTCTAAGTCCAGAGTTCGTCGGTGCTCTCAGTAACACCAAAGGAGCCATACGCTATAAGTTCGAAAGATGGTCTTTAGGATACTCCCGACAAATGCCAAAGTTATCCGCTTAAGATGCTGATGCGATGGTTATGACAGGTGGAGATGGTCAAACGACCTTGAAGACCTCTCTAAGACATAGCGAGTTAGGTGGTTAGTCAATCAGCGACTTCACCTTAAGCCTCGAACAGCTGTTTGAGGAGGTGCGGGTCGAGCATGAGGTGGACGCTGAACTAACGCTTCTGGAAGATAGTCGGAAGAATGAATTTTCTCCACAATAACATACAATATGCGATGGAGGCCTCAGCCAATTCGCTGCTTCGTATGCAGGAGATCTCTTTGCCCTCAGTAAGTCTGGCGTCTTCCTAATTTTGAGACTTTTAACAGTTAATTGCCGTTCATGCTTCAAGGTTCTGAGTTGTACCAAACGCCGTCTGCGGAAGCTGTATGAAAAAAACGAAAACAACTCATCACTTTCTTCTTGGCTGTCTCGCAACTGGGAGGTCAATACTTAAACACTTTAAAGCGTATACCTTCAAACATCCCAACAAACTGACGGGAGTGGACATTTAATGCCTGGGCATCTTTGTATTGGCTTTTAAGCGTTTTACTAATTTAAAAAAATCCTCCTGGGATCTTCTTTTCTATGACTTCACAAAGGATTACATGCAGCAGTTTATGTCCGATCTTTGATCAGCCATCTAAAGTAACATAATCTGTGAAAGGGTTGAATGCAAAATTATGGTCTTTGAACTCCATCAAGTCGAAAGAAAATTAAACATAGAGTCTTTGTTATAATAGAACCAAATTTTTAGTCAATATTTTTTTTTTTTTTTTTTTTTTTTTATTCCTGTTTAGATATTTGATAAGACCGGTAATCGACTGAAAGAGAGGCAATATTAAAGTTTGAAATTTATAAGCATGTCCCTACATTTATAACAATTTAACAAAATTTAAGCTACATTAGCAATTAATTGTGGGATTAGTAAACATTCGATGAACCCAGAAAAGGTATAGACGAAAATATTTACACAACTAGTATCTATTCATCTATTTCACGCAAATGTCACGAACAATTAAATAACTACTAATTTTAAAATGTCAGCTGAAGGTAGAAACAAAAACAAAAAATGTGAAACATCTAAAGAAAAAAGGTCGTAGTAAAGGAGGGTAACCTAAGTGTAAACCGAATTAGAGAGGAAAAAGTATAAATTAGTTAAACGAAGACGCCAGCTGGCCTTAGATATGTATGTAGGAGATATGTAGTATGTATAAATACATATTATATTAAGAGAAATAACTTTCTTTGCGCTAACTCCCTGCTTTTCTTGTTTACTGTTGTCAATCACACAAATTGACCAACGCCATCTAGATTGTCTACCAAACCAAATAAATATATCAACAAAATCTACATAACTACAGCCAAAAACACAACAAACACCATTGTAGAAAAACAACAAATTAAAAGAAATAAAACTTAATTATATACGAATACTATTTAGACGCATTTTAGGACAAGGGAAATTTTTAACAACCAAACACAGACATCACACCAATCATCAACAACATCAAACTCATCAAGTACAAGCAACAACATACAATAAATAACTAACAACAACAAATTAAAACGAATTTATTCAACATTTCCGCTGGCCAACGATCATCAAAATCGTGGAAGTTCGTCGACGAAGCGAGCGCTTGCGATTGACAGTGAGACGAGTAAGGCTGCAAGTAGCCAAATGCGCCACATACCTGACACCAGTCAACGCCACGACAAAGAATACACTAAAACAGCAACAACAATGACTGTATAACAGCTTTGGTGACCGTTGCATGGTTGACGTTTTGACGTCTCACCAACGGCCTGTCAAATGTATTCTATGTAATCTATGCAAATAAGCAGGGCGTGTATTTCTTACACGAAGGAGAAGCAGACTTTTGAGTTAACTGTGTTGCGCGTGCAACGAGTGTAGCAAAGAGAATTATGAACGCTTCATATCTGCACATAAATTAGGCGGTTATGCAGACACTACTGAATGCCACTGCTTTGTTTGCATAAATACTTGTGTGTATGTAAATGCCATAACTGTAGATTTTGATGGGAGATGTCCCGATGAACAGCTATTATGGCTATAAAATACATATATTTCTATAAATTTTTTACTCTCTTGAATGCAGATGGCATTTGTGTCTGGAGATTGGATCGCCAGCCAGTCAGCCTGTCTGAATAGCTGGGATTTTATGCTTTTGCTTAGTTATTTATATATAAATGCATTCAGCATTTGTAGCGAGTTGGTTTTAATAACTGGCAATTAACAAAAGCGATTTTTTTTTGAGCAGTTAAAGATTTTCATGTCATTGTACTCAAGAAAGTTTTATGAGGAATTTTTGAGCTGAAAATGGACACATCTTGGTCAAGTTATAAAAACGTATAAATATTAGTTTGTACTCATAAGGCACTGACGTTAACAAAGTTGTATATTTCTTACTGATTCCCAAGGCTTATGAAGCTCTTTTATTTAAGAGTCAATAAAATAGAAATAGATTAGCTTTTTCATAAAGCACGACTTATGACCGGTAACCCAGCTCTATGTTGTATATTGTAATATATTTCAAAATCTGTAAATTACTAACAGCTTCTTAAAAATCATACGTAAGTTGTCTTTTATATTTCGGGATTAGTATATATCATCGAAAATCGCTATATTGTTTTCATGCCTTTGAACCAATTCTCGAAGCACTTTTACCTCTAAGATGGAGCTCTCTCCAAAACACGCTCTCTTTAGGTCTCGAAACACTTTGACCTCTTATTTTATTTTTTTCATACGGGAGTAAAAAGAAGTTATTCGGTGTCAAGTCGGGACTTTAAGGTCGATGACGCATCAAATCGATGTTCTGAGTTGTTTCAGTCGATGTGGAAGAGCTAGCATTGTCCTGGTGAAGTGTGATGCATCTTCGGTGGCTTGTTTTTTTTCCGATTTCTTGAAATACACCTGGCAAAAAATGGTTGCGTATATACCACTCAGAATTTACTATTCTACGCTGTTCTAATGGTATGGTTGTGACATGTCCAGTTTTTCCAAAAAAAGAAGCACCCTATAGTAAGTGTTTAATAGGAACTCCAGCATGTAATGATTATAACGAAATAGAGTCCCTTGAATTCGAGAGCATATGTACATTGGAAGCAAATACCGAAAGGAATCTCCATTGACAGAGCCGCAATAAAATCTGCTCGCCGGTGAAAAGACAAAGAAACATTGTTGGCAACTTACAAGGCAATCGGCTGGCCGGTTCTCAATTACGCCGCAACAATATGATCACCTGGATACACAGGAATGAAGATAATGAAGCTTCAGACTTCTCAGAACACTGCGCTCCGAACTACGACAGGATGCCTCCTAATGTCCTAGTGAGACGCTTATGCTTCCAGTGAAGGAGCATAACGAACTCCTCTACAGATTTTTATTTCTGAAATCACCCCTGCTGCCACCTGCTTGGAGCGGAACGACTCCCTAGGAACATAAAAACGTCTTTCATCAATTACGTCGACGACATTGAACAATACACCGACCGAACTCGGGCGCAACTAACTAAACACTGATCGCCATTCTCAGCCGAGCCATCAACACCTTCAGCGACTCTCTTAAAGTGAACGGCATTCTTGGAGTCAAATCACGACCCATTGCAGACGAAGAGCTCGAGTTGTCGCAAGAAACGAGAGTGACTCTAGCGCAGCTTCATTTTGGATTAAGAAAAGACGATCATAAACCGAATACTAGGTGAGATATTATGTATTATTTCGGCTTGAGCAAAAAATGGCCAGTAAAAGGTGCAGAAGCGCTACATGGGAAACGAATTCGAAAACAAATTCAAATAAACACCCTATTCTGTATATAATTTTGAGGTGAATTTATATGAAAACTATTTTTACAAACATTCCAATTAGAATGTCGGGCATCAGACTTCACTTCAAAGTATTACTTTTATTTACATTTAATTAAATATTCAATAAAAATAACGGAACGAAAAATAACAAAATTTTTATGTGCAAAGCATATTTTGCAAAAATTTTTCACGTGAATTCGGAGAAAATTGCCTTCAAACATACCAAGAACTGCGAATGCTGCTAAACTCCAAATCGTTTCAGCAGAATGTCGTTTCTAAAAAGACTAGCCAAATGTGTTATAGCAACAGTTCGGACTAAAAATATAGCCAACGATATAACAAATACCTTCTTCGACATTGTGCGCGGCGAATCGAATAAGGTGCAAGCCAAAGAGTCGAAATGTCCACCACAAAGAGAACCATACCGCAAACGGAATACGAAAGCTATATATTATCGCTCACACTGCGCGAAGCAGTATCCCATTTGTGGCGTGAAGATGCTGTCTTTGAAATCTTGTAGACCGCAGCGCACATGGTCTTTGGATGTGGAAAAGTGTTGTACCGGACTCTGCAAGTGGGCGCATCCACGTTTCGACGATCTCTACTATATGCCAGGCGATAACTTGAATAAGAAATATCAACGCACATGGGCCGAATGTACAAAGTTCCGTGTGGTACCAAAGGCGATATGTTGTCATCAGCAAACCAAATATAAGCCGCCAAAACGTCGGAAGCCACGACGCGCCATTCCGCTGTGTGACGATATAAAGACTTGCCGTTTAACACTGTTGTGCCGCAATCATTTGTCGAAACGTTGTCCAAAGCTCATTTGGCCTGGTTGTAAGCCTGCGCGCGAACCACCAGACTGCCATCTCAAGCGGGTAGATTGTGGACCCCGAAAATGCACACCTTATCCGAGTTTCTCGGAGTGTTTTAAGGATAAAGTGACAGCGATGAAGCCCGTTGAATGTAATTGTCATCGCATAGAGCCGAGATGCTGGATTTACTAAGTAACTGGATTGGTCAGTTTCTGAAGCTGATTGGGACGCTGCAGAAATTTCGCAACTTTTACAGTTCTTGTCAACAGTGGTTTGAGGTGAAATGGAGAGTTTGAACACAATTTTCGTTTAATGTATGTACACAGTTCGCTTGTAAAATTCGACAGTCGCTGCTTTTTGGAACGCCATTGATGATTTTCTAATTATTTCATCTATGGTGTTTCCAAAAACTAGCAACTGCCTGAGTTTGATTATCTATGCTCATGCGAAGGCTCGAAAAATTCTACGTCTAAACTTTAAAATGTTTTTTGTGCAGAAAATCTGTAATAGTTCTAAAATTAACTGTAAAAAGTTGTAAAAAGTTTTGCAAAAATGTAAAATTAGTGTAAGTAAATGTGTTGTTACTGTTATATCAAGCAAATGGAGTTGGGCATGACTACACGAGAAGGCAAAGGTCTACCTATGATCTATTTCTCTCAAAGACCAAATTGATGAGAAGTAAAAGCCACGAAGTTGACTGAAAAAACCAGTTTTCAAATGCTGCACTTAAGGCTATGACCACAATTCATAAATTGGCCTTTCCTGAGTTTATATCTCATATAGTATCTGTAAATAACATTCTGTTTGAAACTTTGAAAACTATGCACCCACTTTTTGAAAAAAAAAAGTTAAAATAGTGGCCTTTACGGTAGATAGCTTAAACAGGTCATGGTATCAGACATACAAAAGAAACCACCTTTTTTTTAACATGCTCACATACTCAGATCTATATATTGTACTTTTTTGGTGATGCTTAACCCACATACTTTTAAAAGTGACGGCTGAGGTGCCAGCATAAACATAAACAAAAGCAACTTATTCTAAACACATAACAACGAGGCAACTCAATTAGTTGCACGAAAATCAAATTTTCAAACCACAAATTATCCACAATGAGTCAAAAATACCGAAATCGAAAAAGAAAAGAAACAAACATTGAGCTGATTATAAACGCAGCAACACCTTGAACTTGGCAACGCGAGCGTTAAAAAGAGCAATATAAACCGTGTTGTTGTACTTACAGCTTCATACAACACACTATGCAGGGGCTATAGAAACTTGGTATGTTGTAATTTTTCAAGACTAAACCGCAAAATCGAAAAGCAAAGGGCAAAAGCAACAAAAAAACATTAATCGAAAAAACTAAACAATGCTGGGGCATAAAATACCTGCAATATAAAATTATGAGCGGAAGCGTTACACCGCAGCAGAAGTAAATATGTGGAAAATTTGTACGCTTTCGAATGGTTTTATAGAAACATATTTAGTAATATTGAAAAAAAAACAACAACATGATTTTTACCTAATTATGAGATGTGTTGTCTGAAAAGGTAGGCGAGAATCGCAGATCTTCTCGTATCTACAATATTTACAATAGGTTATTACATATCTCTTAAATCTGAGTTCTAAACACTCATGTTAGTAAAGTTTTGAGGTTAGATTGTATTGAAGCATTCATATTAGTAAAACTTTGAGGTTATATTGTATTCAAACTTTCATCTTACTATAATTTTGAATTTAGATTATGTTGAAACAATCATGTTAGTAATATTTTGAGGTTAGATTCTATTGAAACATTCATGGTTATAATATAAATCGACTGAAACTCGTACTGCGCAAAAGTTGAACCATCAGCTCTCGTATATCGGCACTTATGATAGGAAAATATTAAACACAATGTCTCGGCTGCAGTTGGATTGAGTAATTTGAAGGAATTAAGAAGTTAATTATTATATTATGCGCGGTTAAAGTAACAAATCTATGCGTAACCAAAAAGTTTGAATGTGAATACATACAGGGTGCGCTAATAAAGGTAGTTATGTTCATTTACATCAGGTAAAGTAAATGTTTGATGCAAATTTTCTAATGATAATATGGGTATACGTCTTAAAAGTTTACTAATTCGCAGAGTAAATTGGATTTGAAAATAAAAGTTCTTCAATTTACAAAAATCGATTATTCTACTACTATTTTTAGAAGTCTTGAAACTCTAAAATATATTTTCAATTCTAAAAGAATTCAGGTAAAGTATATACATACTATATGCTTTGAGAAACTTATGGACTTTTGTTCAAGCTCAACCAAAGCCACTTTAGAATGTCATTATGACACTAAATTTTCTCGCGAAAATATGAAACTCAGAAAACCCCACACATGAATGTTAATAAATAACGTTTATTAAACATATTTTCCATAGCATTGTGTAAAAGATCTTACACACCCTGTATATGCATATCGACATATGTACTTCACGCATAATTTGACTCCCATTAGCGGTATTAAGAAGTGCCTAAGGCTTAAAAAGCAACTAAGAAAACGGGTATTTGAGTTTTGAAGAGATTTTTCCCTTAAATATAGTACATACATATAGCCATTAGTTACACTTGTAAGCATGTAATTGGTTTTACATACATCAATGAATGCTTTTAAGCATATACTTATACATACACACATCTTTCACACATATATCTTAGTTTATATCTATTCACAGCAGAAGTGGCTCCACTTGAGCCATTCTATCTATTGAATTTGTGTTTTTTCGCTGCTATAAAATTACCGCAGAATTTCAAGGCTTGCTGTGGTAATGAAGTGATTCAATAGCTCAATATTTGTGTATTAAAATCTATAAAGCGAACTTTGACTTATTAACACTAGGTCATACTTGTTCATATTACGCTTAGATCGATCTAGCGAGTTACACAGATTTCAATAAAGGCTCACTTGTTAAAGAGTATACTTTATTAACAACTAAAAATAAATATACACTATATACAGTATCCTGTGAGAAATCAAACCTACCAGTTAAACACAAAATATTTTAAGCACTACATCCCTTAAGGGGTACATTCGTTTCCTAGGGTAAAAAAACAGCCTTCTTCACCAATTCCTTCTCACATAAAAAATTTAACATTTTGTTATTATTAAAAACATATATTATAAACAAAAAATACTGAAATTTTTTAAACCAATATTTTAAACATGGCCATTACGATGCCATTTCCAATGACCCCTCGGAAAAAGGATGCGCCCGCGTTGGCAGGATAACTCCTTACAGGATCAATTAAATTGCAAAAATACCTGTTTTAGTTAAAAACTTAACTTAGAATTTGTAGGAAGAGAGAAACAAACTGAAAATTTAATTTTTGGTAGAAGTTTTTACAAAAATATAAATAAATTTATAAAATTTCGCGATATATTTTTTTTTCAAAAGGTTGTTATCAAAAAAACACCCATCATCCAAATCTTTAAGAATTTTATCACAAAGATCTTTGTAAAATTTCATGAAGATCGGTTCAGTAGTATTCGAGAAATCTTGCAAACTGACCTCAAAAACTCTATTTCGAAAAAAAGCGTTTAAAGACGGCGCACTTAGCTTAGCAAGCCTCGAGCGCACAAGTTCTCAAGGCTGTATCTCCGAAACAAATTCGTGGAAAAACTTGAAAATTTAGGAAAATATTGTAGAGGTGTTGTAAAGTTCAATAAAAACATAAAAAATAGTCGATTTTTTGAAATCCGCACATCCATGTATCCTTATTAGAAAATTAGTTCGTTAGTTTTGAAAGATTTCCAGGTGTATCAAACATGCAAAAACTACAACATTGTAAACGATGATCCTCAAAATACATATGTATATTGGGTAGTCCAAAATGTCTTTTCGTATCTTGTCAATAGATGTCGTTGCAGTCGTACATATATCGCCAGTGCTGCCAATCACATTGTGTCATACTATACAGTGTTGGAAAGGTGAGATTTTAAGCTTCATTTAATCTATTCAAAAATGTGTGAAAATAATGGATATTTTGAAATTTTTATATAAGAAAGGGAAGAACACCACGCCAGCCAATAAGAAAACTTATGAAGAAATGTTTCGCTCGCTACCGCTCTCGGAATTCGATATTCCGATTAACACTGATGAAATAATGTCTCTAACGGAAAAATGGCAAAAAGTAATCGACCGAAGTGGTACATATTTGTTTATTTATTTATTAACACAAATGTAAAAAAAAGTAAGTTGAAGTATGATAAGAAATACGAAAAGACTCTTTCGACTACCCAATATTTTTAAGAATTTTGACTAAAAATGTGTACTAGAGATGAATAAAATACACATAGCATATTTATACTCTTTAATCTCAAAATAAAATAGTCATATTTTCTATATTATTCCATAAAACACTTGCTTGTTTTTAGTGATGCCTTCTATAATAATGCCACATATTCATAAGAGTATGCAGATATTTCATTAAAATAGTTCTACTTTCCCTACTCTCTTCTTACAAAAGGAATTGCGCCATACAAAAATTAATTCTTTAAAAAACGAAATCTCTGAATTCCATAAAAGTGAGAGAATAGAAGATGCTTGAGTATAAACAAGTATAATAAGCTTTTGTAACAAAAAAATTCCAAAGCATGCACTACCGTAGTTCTAAGCGATTAATACAAGTTTTACATACATACGTAGATTTATGTATATATATATGTATGTGTATGTGTAGGTACAAATATAACAACAAGCACGGCTTTTAAGCGCGCTTTGAAAAGCGAATTAGAAACTATATACAATTCATATAAATCAAAGCAATTTGAACTGGGTCAGCAGTCTTTAACTACAAAAGAGATTTACGAGCAGCATATGCATACACACATGCAAGCACACGATATTTAGTAGCCGATCACATGTAAGCCTGCGAATGGGTCGGAGTGTTTTTGGCTATAACTGAGCTGAGAATGCAATACAACAGCAGACAGAAACGCATAAGCGACGCTAGATCAAAATAAAGGCGCTGAAATCGCAGCTGGTGAATTTTGTGAACAATATATAACGCCTAAATACATACACACATACGCATGCATGTGTGCGTGGCACGAAAGCAATTCGACTGTGTGGCAAATGGGCAAGCGCCAAAAGAAACGCTTAGGATCACGCCAGCAATAACTCATAGTAAAAAGGTAAATAGAAGGTGAGGAAATAGCACACACACACATATACATACAGCTAAGTTGATATGCATATGTTGCTTTGCAACAAAAACCAGTTTGAAGGTGAGAAAAGCAAAAAAGAAAACGCAGACATATGTATATATGTATGTGTGTGCTTCTGGCTACCCACTACTCCACTGGCATCTCACCTCGCACTAATTTCGTTTGAACCGTTTTCCATTGCCTCCATTACACCGTGCTTTTGTGCTAGCAAACAAAATTTCAAAATACACTCTATAAAAATACATGTATATATATATATATACTGTCTCTTATACACATCTAGATGTGTATAAGAGA